GGGGGGGGGGGGGGGGGGGGGAGCAGGATACTACGGCTAGACTCATAATCCTGAATCAACCTACGACTTGCTTTGGAGTTGGCATGTATAATGCTTTCATTGTTGACCCCAGCGTTACCCAGTGAGAATGATTGTCATGCAATGAGATTTCTATATTCATTTTATGTTACCTTATCCTTCCAACTTATTCGCTGAACTCCATAGGCTGACAGATGGATCTGCTCGTTTTCCACCTGATAGTTGTAACCACATAAAACACCATATTTGTCAAAAACAGACTTACTCGAAAGCTCTTAGTCTAACTTCCCTAAGCTTTTGTAGATGAAACTTATGAAATAAAACTTGTTTTTCATGCATGGGGAAGTGCTATAATCTGACACTTGAACTATTGTAGGCTATGGACTTTTTCACCAGCACCATAAAACTGAAGGTAATGACCCAAGTCACAGAGTCGGAGGCTACGCTTCACTTTAATCCTCAATATTCCCACAGAAGTACAGGTTGCACTCGCAAAGTGATGGGTCCATCGCCTATCTTCAGGCGACCACGAAGGATCGTTATGATCAACCTTCACGGATTCGTCTTCACAGTGGATAACGAACTTGTTTACGTAGCACAGAAATGTATTGTTTAGAATCTCTTTCTTACCTTCCGTTCCTTAGATGGTGCTCGCGTTATGCTGTAAGAACAAAGTCCTCCACACTACGATGACACCATCTATCGTCAGAATTTTGGTCAATTAGCACTTTTCTCCTTGAATCTCTGAAGACCATTTTTGAGCAAGTTCTTAGAATCCCTCTTTTGCTCGAATAATACCACCCTTATTCTGCCAGTGGAGGGCGATAAAAACTTATCTTGTAAAACCTTTTAGGTGCTCCTAAAATGTGAAGGAACTCCATGAACAGTCAGTTTACGGTGTAAAAACGCTTTGTGAGCATTAAATACGCATTTCACGGAAAAGCATAACGAGCGGATGCATCAAGGCATTGAACTCTCTGTCAGCCCCAATTGGCTCACGACACCGTTGACTTAGTTGTTTGGTTAGGTTATTCGTTCGGTACTGTGGTATAACATAGGTATGAATCGATTCGTAACTTTGTTCCCAGAACGTTTTGTATATTTGGAAGCAGATTCTAGATCAGCGCTTAGAACCACCTACGGCGGTATACATCTCTTGTGGAATCGCCACTGCGACCAAGTATCCATCCCTTACAAGATTCCTTATCAGCTTTTATCAGTTGTTATAATTTTCTCTAAATCGGCATCTGCGTTTAAGTCACGTCCTATATTACACACTATATGAGCAGTGCTCCATTATAATGAAAAATTTGAAAGTGGCCCAGTGGCAATCACGAGTGCTTGTCAGATTTTATTGTTTTTTGTCACCTACTGTCCACGATCCAGACAAATTCCATAACACTGCGAGGTTTCAAGCTTTCACTACCCATCCAAAAAGAACTACCGACTCAATGGTTCTTCCATCCTATGACCACTTATCAGATCTTACCGCTTGTTATCGTCCCTTTATGAACATCTACGATACCGTCACATCCCATATCACACGCCATTGTTAACGCGGAGGGCGTTGCAAGCTCGGTAATCCTTATCTTCTATAGCCTGTTTATCAGTCCTTATTACTTGTAGTGTCCCTGTAACCAACCATATTTGATCCCGTCTTACATCTCACCTCACATCGAACTGTCACGAATTCGCTGTAACACCACAAATGTGCTGTAGATCAAGGGCTCTTGCACTCTTTGGCCATTTATCGGTCCTTGTTATTTGTAGCAACTTACCATCAAACATCTACCGAGCCCAACATATTCCTTGTCACTCGCAAAGGTGCCAAGGCTCCACTAATGGCATTAAGGATGTATAATCTGTTTTCTTTTATAGTCACTTATCAGCTCATCACTTTTGTGAGCCCCTATCCCAAACAGTTACGATCCCGTCACATTCCTCACCACTCATCGAAGTTCCAAGGAACAGTGCCTGTTAGGGAGGGCGTTAGAGAACAGGCAATGCTTATTTCCTAAGCCCCTCATCGTTCCCCACCAATTGCTATCACTTATTATCACTAGCGACCTCAAGCCCCTTATTAGTCCCTACCAATTGCTATCGCTTAATATCACCCACCATTAGCGTTCCCACCCTGCCGCCTTTGTTCCTTTCGAATTTGCGAGTTATGGTTCTCAGTAACCCGCATATCCTACTTTATATAATTTGCTAAGTGTGTCTGTTGGTGTGTCGGTGTGTTTGTGTGTGTGTTTGTTTGTGTGTGTGTGTGTGTGTCGGTGTGTGTGTGTCTGACCGGAAATTCATAACTCCTGTCCCCGTAGACCTAGAGCGTTCAAACTTGGTAGGAGTAAGGGCTGCAGGATGGGAACACCTATGG